TTTATACACATCGTCAAATAACAAAACAATAATTGTCACCTTTTCACCAGCCCATTAGTATCAATGAGAGTTTATAGGGATGTCCTCGCTACACTGACTCATTTTCTTTAACAATTTCAATTATGGGTTGTCCCCATACCCCGTCCGTTATGAACACCAAATTATTAAAGCTCAATACTTCATCCGGTATGAGGGTGAAGCGGGTCGTCCCCATACCTCGTCCGGTATGAGTGCCAAATTACCAAGTCTTCATACTCCGTTCGGTATAAGATAACGTTCACGGTAGGGTTTCCTATGTACCCGATCCATCCACCATCTCTCAAGATATCTAATAAGGCTGTCGTTCAATCTATTTATTTAATCACACAACTTTTCCGTTTTCCTTTAGTCTATATTTTTCAAATCAACCATGCTCACATAAGCAAACAAATATGCATCAAGGAGTGCAATCATATCTCAAATTTTCAATTAAACAGTAGTCACGTAAGACAGCAATTCATGCATTCAAACCATAAAATTGATAAATCAGATACTATCATGCTTTTAGACTGTAAAATAAATCAACAGAAATTAACAGAGAACAATTTTCGGTTCAGGCTCCATTAGCAATTCATAATTAATTATGCACATTTATTTAATTTGCATAAATACCATATTATTATTGATTTAGATTTCAATTATATAATAAGGAATAAGGTGAGGGATCCTTACTCGATTTGACACCCGAAAAGCAAAGCTATTTACTGCGCCTACGGACGGTCTCTAGGTTCCCTGAATTTTTATCCGGGAATCGAAACGCGCTAATAGTACCTACAAATATTTCAAATAAACCCAAAATCAGTCCCGGAGTCCACTTGACCAATTTTAGAATTCCGGCACGGCGGCGGTCCACCTCGGGTCGGCTGTTTTTAACTGTTTTTGGCTGAATTCGTATCTATCCTTGCGAGAAAATACGTTAAAAAGCCTCGATTGGTCCAAAAAATACAAAAAACCGAAACTCACCGGCGGCGAGGCTCTCCGGTGTGGCGGCTCCTCCGGCTCACGTTGCAGTTGAGTGTTTTACTCTGGTCAACCTATAGAGAAGGACACGGTGATCACAACGGTGGAAAAATTACACATAACGGGAATCGGGAATGGCCTCATCGGAGGTATTTTGTGAAATTCTCCGCGGCGCCGCCGCCGGGTTTCGCAGGTATTTTTTAGCCAATTGGCAGGTATTTTTACTCAAATTTGGCCATGGGTGAGCTTAAAATTGAATTTCGTGCAAAATAGAAAGTTTTTACCTTTTTTAGCTGTCGGAAAAGGTTCTGGTGCTGCAGCGGGTGGTGGTGGTCGGCTCCCCGGCGGCTGGGTCGTCTTCTCCGGCGATGGGTTATGGCGGCTAGGGTTATGGTTTGGTGCGGATTAAGATTATTTATGTCCATCCGCTTTTGATCTGTGACGTCCATCACATTTAATTTGAACCGTCCTATCGCGATTAAATAGAGAGTGAATCTAGGCCGTTTATCGCAATCCAATATGGGTCGTTCATCGCGATCCACTCTGTACCGTCCGATCGCATTCAAATCTGACTGTCCGATCGCGTGTGGGGAGGGAACGCATCTGGGCTGTCCGTGCGCGCGGGAACGGATCTAGGTCGTTCAATCGCGGGAACGTGGATCGCCCGCGTGGCGTCGCGTCAGCGTTCGCTGCCACATGATGCATCCTGACTCACCGAGCGTCTGATGTGGCGAAACTTTTCAAAATTACGTTTTGGTCTATATTTTCTGATATTTATTTCAAAAATACTCCTAGAACCCAAATTTTCACTTATTTTTTTAAAATTATTTTCAATTAAATTTTCCATTAATTTTATTTTATTTTTTACTCTAAAATAAAATAAAAATTTAAAAATTAAAAATTATTTTATTACATTTAAGATAAAATTCTAAATTACAAAAAAAAAAAATCGGGTGTTATAATTAATAATAAGTTAAAAAGATTAACTAAATTAAAAAATTTGAAAACTACATTATCAATTTGTCTAAAAATTGTGGCAAATAACAATTTAAACAAAAATTAATAGTTTATCGTTTAAATTATTATTTTTGTTTATATATATATATCGTTCTTATTGTAAATTTTGTAATAAAATTAAAAAATCAATAATAAAGTACTGAGAGTATATTATACAGCGCAATGTCAGTATGTATACATATTATTTTTATTTAATTTATTAAAATAGAAACTATTACACCTTGTTCTTAAAACAAGCTTTACCCCTTATTCCATTGATTAGATTATCATTTATTATGCAAGAGGTGCATGTGCAGTACATGGAATTGCTTCGCACAGGGACAAAAGACATCCATTCAGATGCTTAGGGATTATTGTTGTTGTTATTATTATAATTATTATTACTTTTATATATGCCACACTGTTGAATCACTATATTTATTTTATTAATTTCACTTTTTTTATATTTTAGTTCTAAACAAATTTTCATATGGTCAATGCTTTTTTATCTTATTATATAAGAATTTACATGCTCTTTTTTAAAATAAAATTTTAAAAAGTAAACATTTACAAATAAATCGGGTAAATTTATAAAATTTTAAAATAAAAATTATGTAAATCTACTTATAATTGACATATCAATAATATACCACTTTAAAATTAAAAATACCCATCAAAGGCTCAAATTTTATATAAAATAAACATTATTAAGTAACAAATTTGACGGCATAAGATAGAATTTATAAATGAATGAAATATAATTTAGATAATAGATTATTGACTTGTACATTAATATGAGTAAAAATAAAATAAAATTAAACAAAAGATAATGCAGATGATATGTCTCACACAAGGCACAAATAGAATCCCCGAATCCGATATGCTTTCTCACTATCCGGGCACTTGGGCAGCCAAAAACCTCCCACAACCGCGTTCTATCTATACTTTTTCTCTGCCCGAACAACTCAAAAAGCTGCCCGTCGAGCTGTATCTCATGATCTTCTATCTATTCTCATCTCATCTCCACTTTTCCCTCCGACAAAAGAACCCAAGGAAATAAGAATAATACTGTCACTGCCATAAAAGAAAATATGTCCATCATGTGATCTTAACTGAAATTTTTGTCAATCATAGGTGCAGGACTTCTTGAGTGAAATTGGGACATTGAGTTTCTTGGGATCGAAGGTTATATCGCACTCGATTCTCTTGTAGAATTTGGGCTTAACCAATTTACCCAACACATAAGCTCTGGATCTAACCACGAAACTCAATTTCAATGGCACCGGCAATGCGGTAGTGCCCGTTGAGCTGCTAAGACCTGCTCCACTTCCATATAAAGGGATTTTGTTTCCCATTACGTTCACGGCCACCGATCTGTGGCCTTTCCTTGATTGATAGAACTTCTTCATCTGCAGTACCCAATTGATCATATCAGATAATTGAAAGCCTGAATTCAGATATCTCAGTAATTAACAAGAAATGGCGTAGGGATATCTTAGACTTACGGTTCCCGAGCCTATAACGATTTGAGAATAGGATAGATCTAGCGGAGTTGATGTCACATGGACCCCAAAGAACGTGCCAGTGTTGCGATAGATCATTCTTACAGTCGAGTTCATTGTGATCATATCAGTGGCAACGCCTGTGAAATCTGACCCAGCTTGAATTTTGAATTGCTCAAACGTAATGCTCTGCCAAAATTAACCACAACCCATTTCACTATTCACTCCGTTAACACTTTAAAAAAAAAAAAAGTAGAGCAGAAAAAATACAAATCATCTAACCAACCTTCATAGTGATTTTGGGTTTCTGTGGCTTACTAGCACCCCAGAGAATCAAAGAGAAGAAAGAGAATAGCACAAAGAATCCGAGAAAAAAAGCGAGAATATAGCAGCGACGAGGGAGTCCCTTTCGACGCCCTTCTTCTTCGAGCAGGCCTTCTTCTTCGATCACAGCGCATTCCTTCCATTGTTTCTGGCCCTTCCTGTCGCCCCGAGATCCATCATTAGGGTTGATCTTGCGGGATCCGGGCTTCAATGAGCCGGAGAACCGACTGGAAGAGGACTCCCGCGAGTGGCGACCAACGGAAGAGTGCGAATGAGGAGGTGACCCCATGGGACTGAGCACCGGCGTCGAGTGAAACGACGTCGCTGTCTTCTCCCCATCGTGGGAGTCACGAGACGGGCTCTGCACATAGTAAACTGGTCGGCGAGGAGATCGCGTCGGCGAGGAGGGCGCCAGGCTCGTCACCTCCGAGTCCGTTTTAGCGTGCATCTTTCTGCACGGGCTTTGCCTTTTAGAGGGGAGAAACACTGAATTGTGTATCTACCAGAAGAAATACGCTACAGAGGCTTTGTTCTGCAACCTTTGGATGGTGACTTTATTTTTATGGAGTAGGAGGAAATAAGCTGTGGCTGTAGCTGTAGCTGTAGCTGTTTCATCACTGGAGACTAATTATATTTATCAAAATACGGTTTAGTAAGGGTTAATTAACACTTAATAGCAATAGTTATTCGGATAATTTATTTTACCTTTTTAGTTGAATAACTTGTGGGGATAATATTTCCTCGTCATCCAAGGTGAAATCAATTTAAGAACAACAAAAAAAAAGCGCCGACCATTCTTATTCATGTTAATAATTCTGAAAAAAAAAATAGTAATTTAACTTAATATTGTTTTAATCAAGCTTTAAATCTCGATTAAAAAATAAATTTAAGCTTAAATTAATATAATAATATTTGGGAGGAAGAAACTGGGAACAAGCTGTATAATGACACGACAGAGCACATTCCAGTTGGCACCGTTCCGTCTAGCATTTTGGCTGTGCTTCGCTTTCTTTTCAATTTCCCCTTTTTTAACTACAATTTAAAATTTTCTACACTCGCGCGAGTACCATATTTATTAAACTCGCGTAGGGTCTTTGGATTAGTTCGTTTAAATTTTTTATGCTAATAAAATATAGACGTACGTTGTATTTGGTTTAGATATAGGTCGAATAAAAATACTAATACTAGTATGTTTTAAATTTAAGCTAAATTAAGTTTAAAGTTTTAATTATATACAATAGGTAATACAATCTAAATATGATAAATATTTAAATAAAAGTAGTAATCATCAATTTTAAGTCTAAGTTAAATTATATGTTTTTGTAATTTATTTTTTACATGTAAGAATGGAGATGGTCATCCATCCTTGTTAATGCATACATATTAATCATATTCTAATATAATAAAAAATTACTTATACGGAAGTATAATTTGATTTAAATTAATAATTTTATATAGATAAAATGACATATCAATAATTTAATTAAATAATAATTGAATATATCATGAAAAATAATATGAATTTTTAAAATTTATTTTGTGTTATTTTTACTTTATTTATATTATAATTTTTTTAAGTATTTCTAATTTTTGTATTCTATATAATTTGTAAATGTTATAATTAATAAACTCTTATTTAATTATAAATATTATCATAACGTACAATATAACTAATAAATTATTAGTAAATTACACATAAACATACATAAGTTATTAGTATATATTACAACGTAAGTGTATAACATATCAATGTCTGTGTTATATCACAATTGTAAACATTTAATCCATTATGATTTATATCAATTCATATATTTAGTGTCTGATACTCTTTAATACTAAATGATATCTCAAATTTTTTATTTAATTTAAAAGAGTATATAGTTTTTTGTAAATTTTTAATTTGTATCATATTATAACAATATTTTGAAAAGTACAATAAAATATAAAATTATTGATGAGTAATGTTATAGCTAATTAGAGCTTATTATTTGATCCAGCATAAAACAATGATAATATATATATATATAGCTCAAATGCTTAGTTTGAGGTCTCAGCAACCCTAATGGCCAATAGATGATGCCCATTTAGTAACATAATTGATAGTGGAATAATAACTATAAAAATAAAAGTATTATCAATCATATTAAGTTTATCTCTCTAAGTTCATTGCTCATTTACATATTAAAATTATGAATTGATATGTCATATTTTTCAAAGTAAATTAAATTTTAAGATGATATAAAAATTATATGCACTTATATTTATTGTTGTCTTTCAAATAAAGTGAGTATACATGTGAAGACATGACTTCTCTTATTAAAATTACATACCTTGTTGAAGGGTTTTATTCGAGTTATTGACTGATATAATGTGATATATTTAGGTGAGCTTATAAAAATGTATAAAATCATAAATTTAGATGCAAATATTTGTTAACAGAGTTTGAGAATTGTTACGAGATTCTTAATGCTTATGATATTATTGATTATTTTGCATTATACTCGATTTTTTCTACTGCTAAAATTAAACAATAAATTTTGTATATAAATTTTAATTTTACAACAATATTTTTGTGATATATTAGAGTGTATTATTGTGATATTTTTAAATCACAAAATATAATATAATACGAGAAATAGATAAAATTTTTTAAAATAAAGAGATTGGATATTGTTACGAAGCTACGTCACTAACAATGAGAATAGAGAATAAATTTTTTTTGAGACTATAGGCAATTTTTGACACTAGAAAAGACATTGAGAGAAAAATAATAAAACATTAAATCTTTATTTTTAACAACTAAATCTTGAGATAGAGATTAATAACTACTTATTTTTTTATTATTTTTCACCACAAAATAATTTAAGGATTATTATTTTTTAAGTGTTGATAAATTAGAGGTTTACAGCTATGTAAAGACAAGTCAAGATGTTAATAGGTTAACAAATGCCATTATTTTTGTATTAACGACATTTAAAGAGAAAGATTAAATTAATTTAAAGTTTAAGCCAATAAAAAGTAATTAAATTATCCCTTAAATAATTATTTAAAAATAAAAGTAAAGTTGTTATGTAATCACTTATGAATGTGACAAAATAACTAACAATAAGAGCGTGTGAAATAAAATTACGAAATTGCCCATCCTAGAAATTTCTATGCGGACGCAATCCCTAGATTCTTTCACTTCTCATTTCGTCCGTTTCCAACACTATTAATATAATATTGTTTTTGCCCAACAAAATTTAAAAATACCGGTAAATTCAAAATTCACCATGGCTTCCCTTAGTACATTGCAATTGAGACCCAACTAGAGCCGAACAAGCAGGTGCCGCAGATAAAACACCATCCAATCAGCTAACGCCACGTATCCGAACAAACTCCATGTTCTCCCAAAATCTTGCACGTGGTGCAATTCCCGAATTTCAAATCCCTGTCAGCGTGTCATGGCCCGTATCGGAAACGCGTTTCGCGTTTCGCCAAGTAGTTCCGGGTTTCTTCGTTACGGGTAATTCAATGTGTTATCCAAGGGTATTCCTGTAACTTCACTTGCTTTCCTTTTTTCATAGACACCCAAAGCTCGTAACCCTATCCGTAATCCGCTTCACTTTTTATTAGTCGACAATAAAAAATAAAAAACAGACCTGCTAATCTCTCTCCCCATAATTCTCTTCCCAACACCTGATATTCGCCGAAGTCTTCTCCCTCTAACCTACCCTGTTCTTCTATGCTCCAGTGGCAACTAAAATGACGAA